GGGAGGGTTGTAGACTGCTCTTATGCTGAATTCAAGTACTTAAAACCGTGTTGGTAATGACGTATTTATTAATCATCATTCCTCATTACGTTTTTGTATAATAGTTAACACATAATCTCGTAAATATTTCGCAATATCAAAAATGGGTACCATTAGAACGAATGATTTGCTGACTTAAATATTATTCAGTAAAAGTAAGGAAGATAAAGATGAAAATTGATGGTGCTTTTATTATGAATGGAATATTTGTTTATTTCAAATGGCAGGCGTTTTGATAGCTATCATTAGCCATTTAGCTGACTTCGGGCTTCACAGAGGGAAGGTTAATTTAAGTAGTAGAAAGTTGAGGGGTTGGGAACAGAAGAGCGATTCGCAGATGCAAAAGAGATAGACAGACACAAAGGTAGAGAAAAAGGTAAGGTGAGTACTGTGAAAGTGGTCGAATATGACATACAGTAGGGTGATGGTAGTTTGAAGTCAGAAATCAACTGCCAGTTAAAAGACTTTTTCCCGTATGATTATACGTTGCCCAGGGTGCACCACGTGGTGGTAATTCTATTTTGAATGGAATATAAATAGGTATAAGATTTGAAATTTATTTTTCACACAAGTTTTTCGCCATTGATTAATCATACCATTTTTGATAAAGAATATTCCTTCAAACATCGTGTTATCTCTTTTGAGTTTGTATAGCTTACATATCTGTGTACCTTCATGTTATTTTGGCTCAATTCGAGGGCACAAGCGCTTTCTTTTTTAAATTTGTAGCAATTAAAACTACCTGCTCAACTCATTTTAATTTTCGCTATATTTGGCAGTCAAGATCATATTTACCTGAACCATTGAGGGTAAAAATAGGTAATCTAGCCCTCTCCTTCTTTACGAACCACCCTCCACCCCCCTCCCCACTTTTGTCATTTTATGAACCTGTTTCACATGCAAAGTGGCAGATCTTTTGAGAATATGGATTTCATTTTACAGAGACGTGTATACAAAACCGCATGGCCGAACGCATTTTGTAGCCATCGGCTATAACTGTCTCTTTTTAAGTGCTTTATTATACTTTCAGGACTTTATAATGAGGGATAATATCCATTTTTAGGAGCTTTCAATTCACTTCGGTTTGTTATGTTGAGTTGTTAGTTTAGGAATGGTTGCGGTTGAAATAGATATTGCTTTGTCAAATAAAACATAACTTATATTAATATTGATTAAATATAGACTGTGAGCCTAGATCGATCGGATTTGCTTTAGCAGATATCGATTAACATACTTCAATGGGATATTCTATCCCTATTCAAGCACAGGGTAGAGATTGAAATCTTTCACTCTGACACACAATCGAAGTCCTTTAGAACTTGTTAATGGGAACAGAGAAGATTATAAGTCACTCAGGAGGCTAACACTTGTCCAGGACTTGGTGACTACAAAGCATCTGCAGAGCAAAGAGATATAGAAAAGTTGATTAGTCTGTGAATTATTCTAACCGAGTCACACCTTGATGTGTGCAAGTACTGACATGCTAATGTACTTTCCAAACAGTGGCCACTTAATGTCTTTAAGGCAGATATTAAGACGTAGCGCTTTGAATGAGAAGTGAATCACTGACAAATTTAATGAGACATTTCTCTTACCACCTTTTTCTCTCATACAATTTATAGGTGGCAGAATGACAGAAATCGGCTTCAGTGTTTGCGGCGGTAGTGGCGGTGGCTTTAGTCCCACAGGTATGGAAAGTCTTCTAGATTCCTTCTGGCTGGATGCGCCCAATTTTCTTGAACCTCCTCAGCTTAACTTCTCCGATCTTAAACCCATCTCGCCTGGTTCCACAAAGTCGACAAGTAGCTTAGACTCTATTTTTAATGGTGTTAATAATACCCCTCCCAGTTCTCCGTGGACAAACGAAATGGTTAAAGATGATCTCCTTCAGAATACTACTTCTCCTCTCGAAAAGGACATTGACTTAGGTAACTCCATAAATGAATTCTGGGAAGAGAACATTGGTTCCGGGTGTCCATCTCCAGCAACCCAATCCCAGATCAAGAAATCCGCAATTATTGAAACTGACCTTCTTCAGGAATTCGGCGATTCAGGAGACAATTCAACCGTTAATATGCTTGAAGAACAGTTGGCAAGTGCAGATAACGCATGGACTGTAGCACTAGAATTACCGAGTGAGTTATATTGTGTCCTTTGTCACACATGTACACGTAACCAATACCCATTTAATTCTTCGTATCCATTGGAAACTAAATCGCCATGAAAGCTTTAAGGTATTTTGTGTTTGTGTACACTCACCAATCACACTTGTTTGCTAGTATGCTAAAACAATTTGAGTGTTAAGCCTAACGCCGAGGCTTTAAAAGATGCAATTGAAATGGGGAAAATAAGCATCGAGAAGAAAGAAATAATATACATTTTAATTGCATTTGTATTTATGCTTTTAGATCTTGCAGTTGAAGAGGTTAGTGACCTATTGACTGAGACGCAGAAATCGACGATTTCACCTCTTCCAAGGCAAAGAAGGAAGAAATCGAAAAGACGAGTATGGAAGAAGACGATAAATTACATATCCTCGGATTCAGAGGCTACTGAAACTGGTTCAGAATGGGAAGAAATAGAATGTGAACATTCTCCAAATCGAACGCGGATGTTCATTGCGGGGCATATGGAGATAGTTGAAGATTTGGCCACTTCTTACGATGTTGATGAGCCGAGAAGCTCCCCTGCTAAAAGGAGAAAGAATTTAACTTCCCCATCTAGTTTCCAGACGTCAACCAGACATTACTCCTCCTCAATAAATTATAATGAGCCATGGTGGCCACAACGTTCCGGATCCATTCAACAACGACTCAATTCACGGGATTTGGACGGTTGTGGTAGTGTTGGACGTAGTAGAAGACAAATGGAACTTTGGGAGTTCATATTGAGGTCGCTGGATGCGCAACAAGTGAATGGCAGTACAAAATCAGCTTTCAAGTGGGTGGATAGGTCGTTGGGTATCTTCCGGGTCACTGACACACAGAAAGCTGCCAAGGAATGGGGCTCCTATCGGGGAAATGTCAGAATGGACTACGAGAAGATGGCTCGTGCTATGCGGTGCGTAGTTTTTCTCAGGCGCTTAAAAGTTGCTTTTATTCTATTTTGACTCACAGTTAAATTTGGTAATTAATTGAGGCAATCATCTGATTTATTCTCCACGGGTTTTAATATTTTGTTAATTACAACAATTTGTTGAAATAATTTTAATATGATACTCATTCTAAAGATCGCGTACGATAATATCTAACTAATAAATTTGAACAAGTCATATTTAAAAGGATATGTACATTATAAATTAAATAATTCAACCTTCAACAAGTTATACTAAAACGTATTTCTATTACGTTGGACCAAAATTACAATTTACAGTTCTAGTAATGTTAAATTTCAGTATAAAGTATAAGTTATATATTTAAATATATATAGTAAAACTGTATGGAAGTAGATTTAAATGTCTGGCTTTATTTATTGTCCTAAATCAGCGCTCATGTTGACCATTGTCAATTAGGTAGCTTAGAATTTATAAGTTCTTAGGATTCTTAAGAATTCAATATGATTTAAAACAAGTGAGGGTTCCATGCTATGAGTGCCAATATCGCTTTCAATAAACTATGATGTGGATACCGTAATGGTCATGCTATAGGAGTTTTAATCTCTGAGCCGCAAGCAAGAAATGATGGTCATTCAAGGGTCCTTAGAACTAAAGCATGACGAATTTTTTGGAAATGTAAGCAGATCAATTGTCAAAATCGAAAGTGTCTTTTTGCGGCAATCAGAAGACAAGATTAGTTCGACTTGATTCCCTCAAGAAGAATAGCAACCAGAGAAACAAGTTGATCCAGACAAAATATTGCACGAATAAGTTATAAAAAATTGACTGTAAACGATTCTTTTAAAAATAGACTCGTGCCAAATAGATAATATTTGGAAATAGAGAAAAGAAGCATCGGTGAATTGTAATATTAAGAGAGCAAGATGAGCTGGTGATAAGAAGGAAATAGTGGGGCAAAATTACAGTTGAAGAGAAAATACAGCGAAAAAATTTAATCTCGTTCTGTTGCATCATTTTACTTCCTCACAAAAGTTCCAGCAAAGAAATGGTTAAATGGAGAGCAAAGGCAACGGCAATATGAAAGACATATTAAAGTTTTAAATTCTTTTCTCAATAGGTTCTACTACAAGGAGAGTGTGCTTCGGAAAGCACACAAACAATTGCATTTCCAGTTTTCGATGCCATTTGTTGTTTGGTCGAAGCGACATCACTCTCTTGAAAATACCCCCAAAACTTCCACCAATTCGACTTCATAGCATCTGCACTTCCTGCTTCTCTTCACCCTCCATCTCCCTCTCTCTCCCTCTCTCTTACTTTATCTATCTATCTATCTATTTATTGTTTTCCCTCTTTCCTTGCAATCATTCCTTATCGCGTAATTCCTGGTGTATATATTTTATAAACTCTTTGCTGTGACTGCCCCTTAGCTCACTGTTGCTAATATAGCGCATTATAAATAGCGATTATTTCTTTCAAATGAATTAAGAACTACAATTAGGAATCGAAGATCAATAAAACCGCTACTGAAATATGCAGATAACATGCAGGTCGTCAAAGTAGTTTTTCGTTAAATCGTTCAATTTGCTTGCAATTGAGTTAAAAAAGATCCAGTTCGGGTACTGGAAAAAATAGTTTTCGCAATTCCTCTCATTAAAAGGGTCATATACTGTACAGAAATCTCTTTTACGGTATATGAACGATAAGAAACAAAAATAGTAAGAAAGCTGAATGATTTAGTTTGAGTTACTGAAATCTCGTAAGCTATCAGCCGCTAAATTATTCATTTATTTCAAATGGCAGGCGTTTTGATGGCTACCATTAGCCCTTTAGTTGACTTCGGGCATCACGAAAGGGAGGAACATCAAAGTGAAAAAATGTCGAGAGGGGGAGGGGACAGAAGAGTGTTTCAAAGATGTAAAAGAGACAGACACAAAGGTAGAAAAGGTGATATGAGTACTGTGAAAGTAGTCGAATATGACATACAGTAAGGTGATGGTAGTTTGAAGTCAGAAGTCAACTGCCAGCTAATAGACCTTTTTGCCGTGTGAACATACGTTGTCCAGGCTGGACCACGTGGAGGTAAGTCTTTCGCATACTCCTCTTTNGGAGAATGAAATCTACGTGTAGATTCGAGACTGTTTTCCCATGTTAAGATTTATTTATTTATCTCAAATGACAGGCGTTTAGATAGTTATCATTAGCCCTTTATCTGACTTCGGACTTCACAGAGAGGAGGAGGAACATCAAATTGACAAAATGTCGAGAGAGGGAACAGAATAATGATTCACAGAAGTTAAAGAGAATAAAAGGTTAGATGAGTACTGTGGAAGGGATCGAATATGACACACAGTGGGGTCATGGTAGTTCGAAGTCAGAAGTCAACTGCCGGTTAATAGACTTTTTTGCCGTATGAATATACGTTGCCCAGAGTGCACCACGCGAAGGTAAGTCTATCGCACACCCCTTCCCGTGTTAAGATAAAATAAAGCAATTGTCGAAGACGCCTGTTTACATTCGACGAATTTATTTACTACTTAATTTATTCAAGGTTTCTGAATGAGATTGCATATACGATTGAGTTTCTTTGACTTCTTAAGGCATTGAGCACCTAGCATAAAAACGAAATGCAAAATTAATAATAAAAAACGATTGGCTTCACAGCAGGACTATATTAGTGGTTGATTATATTATTAGGTAGTGGAATCGCACCTATTTTCGATTGACGGATTCTCATCTCAGACATGGGTATAGAAGAGCGGCCATCCATTCTTTTCACAGAATTTTTTTGTGGTTTCTACCGCGAGGCACCACAAATATTGCATTCGGCTCGCCATCAGCTCTCGAATTGCAACACTAGGCATTTAAAGGTGAAATGACATCGATTGGTTCCCCCCTGTTAACAGCTTTATTGATTGTCGTTTTTTGTTGTAAGAAAAAATAAAAATGTTTAAGATTAAACAGCTCCATCTTTCAGAATTCTCAAATGGTGTGGTCTAAGTAGATTAAATTTAGTAGTAAATTTTCCCATTGTGCCCAGTACTAGCCTATTAGACCCTTTAACACCTGAATTAACTTTTGGAAAATGCACCTAACTGCACTCACGTGTATCTCACAGCAGCAGACTGATGCCCCCGACGTGATGAGTTCTGGTGGTATCAGGCGAAGGCCATAGACACATAATGAACTTGTTCTAAATGACAATAATACCGACTGTTAGGAGTTTAGTACCAATAAAGCTTATTTTAAATGGGGATCATTCGGATTTAGGGCGTTTAAGGGTTGAATCTAATTCTCCCTTTCGACCTCTTACAGTGATTGTTTTGAATAAACGGCTCCAATTAAACCTGCTCAACTTATTTACAAAAGGTCTTAAATAAACATTGCCAACCTCTTTGGCACATTTTTTCCTTTGTTTTCAATAGGGCTGTGCTTTTACCTCTTCAGAACACTAAATGCCACATCGTCCACTTAGCTGATTCATAGACATCAAGGCGGCTGCTCTGGTTTTTGGACCATGAGATAACTCTAGGCATTAGATTTTTTCAAATTAAGCGATTACAGCCTTGCAATTATTACCGTCATTATTATTTTTTTGATTTTTTGATTGCGAAAAGCGGCTGACTTCGTATAACAGTGAAACCAGCACGTAGAAATTGAGGAAGCGATCAAACATGTGCTAATAGCAATGTGTTCATGCATCAAAGAGTTTTTCTTCATTTTGTGTTTAGATTCGGTTGCATAAAATGCTGTTTGATGAGCAGCTCACGTTGAAAACATATGACTTTCACTATTACTTTCCCCCGATTACTGTGATACTCAGTACTTATCGACGGCGTTCATTATTCCAGTCCAAAATGTGAAATATTACTGCTTATACAGTTGCTAAGTGCTTCAAGAAGGACCACTTGAATTAGGCGTCATAAACATCAACTTAATTAAATATACTATTCAAAGCACTCTGGAGAGTGTGGATGTGAGCCCATTCACAAACCTAAGGGCCAAACTATGGAATGTAAACTTACGAAGGCAAGTAAAATAAAGGAAGCCATTGAAGTCCTAATCTAACTCTATCTAACACCTTCAGGTATTGGTTTAAAGATATCCATGACTAATCAAACCATTTCTTATTATTTGAAGACCAGAAATGTTTAACTACAAAAGCCGATTGGAGAAAACGCCGATGCAGAATTTGGGAATGGCATTTCATCTAATCACAAAGGAATTTGCCGTAGCCAGACTTCTGGAAACGGAAGATCTTCTTTCCAATGACTCCGTAGACGCCAGATCTGTCGCAATCTACCTCATTGAGCTAAGGGCTGCCGTTGAAATGGACAGACGTCGACGTACTAAGCCGACGTTCGAAATTCGGACTGCTGCCATGGTACTGAACTCTTTTATTGTATTTAAACAGTATTTTTCGAGTAACATTTGCATAGTAGTCAAAGATCATCTCAATGCACGATTCTACATTCTCACTCATATTGATCAGATTAGGGGAAATATAGCAAACGAATTAGTGGAATTCGTTTTCAGTTTGCATTGTGTTTAACTTGGCTTTACTAGTTTATCATTAAGTGTGAATATCCAAATGGTGAAATACATTATTTGCTGACAACACTTTGGCACATTCCCATCACGATGGATGCTGCAATAAAATTGTACTTTTTTCTCATTTTCACTCTCAATTGGATTGATTGCATTTTAAGTTGTTTGTTTTTTCATCAGAATGCTAGAGAAAGTGAGACTTTTTCACGATGTTGATGAATAATACAGATATGACACAAGGGGCAGTGATTGGTGATGTTGGTGCTGATCAATGAGAAGGAATCCGGTCAACCCGTATCATATACATGCTTAATATGCGAACTGAGGAAGCGTTATCATCTTGTATAGTTTTTTTGTCCTATTTGTAAATTTTGGGAGGGATTAAAGAGTCAATTATACACAAACTGCCGTTTCTCTAGGGTGAATTAATTGAAAAGTAGCACCTGGATATCACATAATATATATGATAATTATTATTCCTGAACTTCCTTTCGGTACCGGGTCTTGACATTAATGGCAATTGTGATACATTCATTGAAGTTATTGATTTATATTCAGATTTGGCAAATCAAACCTGCCCTCTTTATTACACCTTAAAAGACAACCTATACTTCGTATTCCCTTATATCTGGCTTTAGGATAACATAATAATATAAACCGCATACTCAAATAGTCTCTAATTCGTGTGATTAAAGTACTTCAAAGCTTTGCCACTAATTTTCACTCTAATTATTTGATGAAAATATCTATGAACCGTTTAAATACTCTGATGAAAGCGTGGAAGTTAGTCAGGTTGGTTTTCTACTTTTTAAAGTAAGCAGAAATTGAATGTCTCTGCGAGTGAAAAAATTTCCCTATCCAAATTAGTGTCTATTTTTTTTTATCACTGCTTCATAGTATTTATTCATACAATTTGAATTGAAAATGGGATCAATTCAATTTTAAAGATCGATACCGGCACCCTTTTACGAACTATTCCACTTGTTTACTATCGATTCTATGAACCAATGAAGTAGAAATACGCAACTGAGATGTTAGTTATGAAAGGCATTGTTATCCATACTCTCGGCTACAGATTGAACAGTTTAATTTAAAACAGAAGAAGACCAATTACTTCTCGAGAGATGAAAATAGCGGAATAATTTCAAGAGGCTAATATTTTTCAAACCATTTAAAATTATCCTCTTTAAAAGTTTAGAGATAGCTGCTTTTTAATATTTCTTCGGTAAACGTGTGAGAAGTATTTATATCGAATGGCAGGCGTCTTGATGGTTACCATTAGACCATTAGTTGACTTCAGGCTTCACAGAGGGGAAGGAACATCAAATTGAAAAAAAGTCGAGAGGGGGGGGGGAACAGAAGAGTGTTTCAAAGATGTAAAAGAGACAGACACAAAGGTAGAAAAGGTGATATGAGTACTGTGAAAGTAGTCGAATATGACATACAGTAAGGTGATGGTAGTTTGAAGTCAGAAGTCAACTGCCAGCTAATAGACCTTTTTGCCGTGTGAACATACGTTGTCCAGGCTGGACCACGTGGAGGTAAGTCTTTCGCATACTCCTCTTTAGCCTCTAAATTATAGAGCAACTAAAAAGTGTCAACACAAATAGAGATGACTAAAAAAATGCAAAAGAGAGGCTATTATCAACGATTTACCTTTTTAAATATAAGTAACCAATGCAGAATTATTCCATTTAAAACTGTTATTACATTAATATGGAAGAACATATTTGCGCTAATACAACCATTTATTGTTGCATAATTGTTTAAATTATATTATTAAATTTGAATAAACTAAAATCAAGAGCATTGTAGGTAAGCAAAAAGATGTGAGGAAAAATTAAGTGAATTAGTGAATATAATAGCATTTTAGAACAAGAACTATCGCACACCTATAGTTGAACAAGTAATATATTAGTTTTGAGATCGAAGCCATGTATGAACTTGAGAATATATGAAAACAAGTGAACGGATAAGTTTAGTGATCTGGCTTAATGCGTCCAGTCTGATATTGTAGATAAGAAATTGTATCACCCATGCGATACGCCACAAAACCTGACTATAATCAATTTCAGAATGAGGGAACCTTTTATCTCAAGAAATGCCAAATGCAAATATTCTAGGGAAATTATATGTCACATAACTGTCTAGTTAGGACTTTAAGTGGTAAATTCTCTCTTAGAGGTTACACAAACTCTTGTAAATTAACTAATTTAGATTTCTGTTTGAGCTCAAGGATGAACAGTTTTAATAAAAACAAAGTGCTTGTTTAAAAATATATTCGAAATGAAAATGATTAAACAATATGATCGTAGTTCACACGATCATATAGCGGATAATTAAATCTCACATGGAAAAAGTAGATAAAATTTTGACTAGGAGAAAGACAACCAACGTTTAAGAAACAAAATAAATCAAAAGGCTTCATTTACAGCCGTTGTTATTTCAGAATCTTTTCATAAACCAGTTAACAGCAAATTGTTTCTAGATCGATGATGGAGAGGACATTTTTAAAATGACCAAAATGTCAAACGATCAAGCAAATTTATAATATTTTACCAAATATCAAGTGTACAAAGAATTAAATAAAATTTTATTGCCTATATGTAAATATAGTAGAAATGATTTGATTTTACGAATAATTGACGTCGATGGTGTAGTTTAGTTGGTCTGGAGCCGAATTTCTTCTGATGGTGGATTCCTACGATTATTTATTAAAATTTCTAATTATTGGAAATGCATCAACAGGCAAAACTTGTATATTACGACGCTTTGTCGAAGGCACCTTTAAGGATGATACGCTCCATACTATCGGTGTTGAGTTTGGTACTAAAATAATTCAAGTGGGCAACGAGGCCCTTAAATTGCAAATTTGGGATACTGCTGGACAGGAACGATTCCAATGCGTAACACGATCTTACTACCGTGGTGCTGCCGGTGCCCTTGTTGTATACGATATTTCCTGTCGGGATTCTTTCAATCGTGTTGCAGATTGGATATCAAGTGTCAGAGAGCTTGCAAAACCTGGACTTGCTATCATTCTTGTTGGGAATAAGTCTGATCTCGCTGCTGAACACAGAGAGGTAAATTGCTGCTTGCATTTTTATTGTTAGCTATATTGCTATTTTTTACAAGCTTTTTTTCTTTCGTGCAGGTAAACGAGGAAGAAGCACGTCAATTCGCCTTAGACAATGGAGTTCATGGATTTATTGAAACATCAGCCAAGCTCGGTGATAATGTTGAGGAGGCCTTTTGCGCAGCGGCTCGAATGGCTCTAGAGCGAGCAAAAGCCACTCAATCCACCGACATGTTCCTTCCAGCATCGAGTGGTGGATCTACTTATTTACACAGAGCTCCTTCCAAACAGTCCACAAACAACTGTTCCGGTGGATGTTAGACCACTTTACTTTTGGTAATTAATTTCTTTAAGAGCATTTATAATAAAGCTAATGGGTTTTAATTTCCAGTTAATTGGTTCTTCTAGAATTACTGTTACTCTCTTATTCAGATTTCCATCAATGCTGCATTTGCACTTCCTCTGTGGTCTTGTGGAAAATGCGATGCAGTTTTTCTGACTTGTTTTAAATAACCTTGAGCGATTATTCAGTTCAAGTGTGCACGTACATGTATATATGACTTTGTCGATAGTTCAAGAACACTGCTTCTTCCTGTAACAATGGTTGGCAGCTTTTACGTCTATAATTACTGGATTGTTTGCACTAATTCCATTTTTATAACGTCACGGGGGTTTTTTTATTTTTTGAGATTTACAGTTAGTTGAGTATGCATTTCTTCTATTGCTATTGTGAAATCAAAGTAATTTAGTCCCAATATATCAAAAAGTTAAGCGCTATATTTCTTATCGAATGTATTACACCTCACTTGATCCTAAGAATTATTGTGATTTAATTACTTGTCAAAACATGTGAATTCCTGGGTAGATCGTGTTGACTCTAGCCCCCTTTTAGCTTGTGCAACATTACTCGTCTATTTATATTTTAAAAGTTAATGTCAATGTTGCTTGTTGAGGATATCGTTTCGACTATTTTTTCGGAAGGAGGATTGCACTTCGTTTTGTGCCTTGGTGGCTTAGCAAATAACTTGCAATTCTGCCAGATTATATTTCATGAAGGGCCATACAGTGTGTGACTTCTCAAGGATTAAATTTCTCAAGAGACTTTAAGCTGCTTCTTCTAACATCGGAGTGTTGAATTATATTCCCCTTCATCTAGTTTGGGCTTGCACGTACTTGTCTTGCAAGTATTGTAAATGGCAATCTGATATGCTTGGTTTAATACAGTTTCTTTTTTAAGCTCTGAAATCTCTCGAAGTCGAATATTGGAAATTGTTGTATGCATTGGGAAACTAACTATATTTGGGCACTTAGTCATACGTTATTTGCTCAACTCGATACTTTGACTCAACTTTTAATAGACTTCGGTCTCTAATTCAATGAAAAGATGTTAAAATTTCATCTCTTTCGGTGGGTTTATAATAGTGCTAATATAATGGTGGAACATACATCTTGGCACACGTTTAGAATCTTGTGTATCGGCATATCTTTTGCTTTCACGGGTAAAACTATGCTTTGCAATTGGCAATCATTACGGTGCATGTAATCGTTTATCTATATTTGTGACTATACCGCGTTTTCGCTAGCCTATCATTCCAGCAAAACGCATTTTAATCGAATTATCTCATGGCACACTTAGGATTGTTTCTTTTTCCATGCCCTGTTTTCCACTTTTTGTATAACTAATTTTCCTTTTTACTTTCATTTTAGAGCATCACCAGCCCGTTTTCTAACTACTCACCGCGCAATTCTGCAGATTTTAAATACCTATCCCTCTCCCCCCCCCCACTTTCCTCACTTTGCACAATCTCTTCTTGATTTCATCCTTGTATTTTTCTTCATTTGGATCGTGATATTTTGATTTATCTAACTTAATAATATTTCCGTGGTTTGTGCCTTTGAATACATTTTAATAACTTATCTTTACTCATAGCCTTTATTGCAAAAAAGAATGGCATACGACATTAGAGATCTTTTTTGTGTAATTCGATACCGCTACTGAGTTGTGCAACCATAGGTAGGTAAAGGGGGAGATTGGCAAACTCATCCAATGCTGCGCTATCCAACGAAGAATCGGTTTTAATTGAGCACTTTGTAAAGAGATGTACAATGGTTGCTAGGAGAATTCGATAGATGTGAAATCTAGGCACAAAACCAACTTTAGAGTTGAGGAGAACACGATAAGTGAGATAGTTAGAAGCTTTGCAACCGTGGCGGTCAAATGGAAGGAATGGATGGACACCGGTTCCAGTGTTACAAACTTTCTGAGAAAACCATATTGATTCATCGTGAAATACAGCAGGTTCATTGAGAAGAATGAGGTCACCAGATAGGTAACAGTCTCCATCACGATAAGATTCTCGAATACATCCTAAAGGCCACCCAGATACCGTGAATCTAAGTGCTTCCAGACAGAGATCTTTACAGAACGGTAAACAGCCAGAATCCAATTCCAAGCAGTCCTCCTTTAGATCAGCTGTATGTTTACTGCAAATGAAAGAACAACTCTTCCGATGGTTGGTCAGGTCCTTAGACAATTGTTGAGCCCAAATTGACCGGTTATTGAGGACCTCAAGTATGAGCCTTAGACAAGGAAGAAGGCTGTGATAACCAATAAAAAGGTACTCAAATACAAGATGGCTAAGATGCCTGGTTGTAAGAAATCCCTCAATGTCTTCACTCTTAATTCCTGAAAGGCTTAGTTTTCGCTTGGATTCAAGAATATGCGAGAGAAGGGTTTTAGGAGGAACATTTTTGCTGTGATTGAGATGATAGATAATGAAAGGTTGGAGTAATTGATTAACCCCCTCTGTAATCCATTTAACACCAATCGATCGAAATGGTTTTGGGAGCATTCCGGTTGTATGCAGGTTCAAAAGACCTCGAGACAACTCATCAAACTTTAAAAGAATTTCACGACTGGACTTCTCCCCTGTTTCGTGATGCAGAATAAATTGAAAAAGAGTTTCGAGAGCTACTCGACCAATACTTTCATCAGTCAAGGTGAATTTAGGGGGCAATACTTTCAAATAGTGGTCCATTGCACGAATAGAAGCCCCAACAAAAAGACTTGTGCAAATAGTTCCATTTGCAAAGTCAAAGAATTCTCCCAATCTTGAATGTTCAACAGAAAATGGATCAGAGAATAGAAGTCCGTGCCATTCTGAGCAGAACGAGCCTAAAGAACATAAAAAGAAATTAAAATAAATTTGAGTTAATAGGAAAATACTTTTTCAGTTTCGCTTACTATGACACTTTGTAAAATATTTCCTAAGTTTCAAATCGACATTTGATTTTTCGATTTTATCCCATTCGGAGATCACTACCACAATTTTGGATCCAATATATGAAGATAATATTGAATAATCCTCAGAAAATTTTGAGACAGAGCTTAGCCTACTAATAATACCAGACTCAAAGAGAGCAGCGAAATCGCGTACAGCAATGGATTCCACATTTCGCTTACGACGGGGGCGATTCTAAAATGGAAATCTTAATCAAGCAATAACATACACGTAAAGTGTTGATCCACGCAATAAATACAACAATGAGAACGAAGGAGAAAATGTTAAAGACCACTTTCAAAACGATGTCAGTCGACTTATTGTCGGAGAAAAAGGCATGATATGGCGGCCGATCCCCATCAAGCTCATCCCGCTTCGTCCCACTCATTGCGGGAAAGCGGGGACGTCTGCAAACGGCCAATGGGCAATTGCCAACAGTTGGACAAAAGGGTCTTGGGCATACTCAAAGGGAGAAATTCATTAAAAATAATGTGCACAAACTAGCAGAATATTCATTTTTGCTTTTAATAATAATGAAATCTTGAATATTCAATTCAAATAAGCCTAATCTATGGGTGTTTAAAATGCACAAATATCAAGATTCAATTTAGAAGAAAGAAAACTTGTTTAAGTATTTTAAAATACCATTAATGTATACTTTGTGCTATCAAAACATTTAATTTTCGAGTCATAAAAACCTCTTAATTCAGTGCGCACCTTTTGAAGCCTCAAGGCGTTTACTTGAGTACTACTGTCGCGTTTCCTTTTATTTTATTCATAATGGATGGGAAAAGTGATCTCTTACTTGTTCATAACGAATATATTAGGTCACTCTTTGGAAAAATACAAAGGACCTGCTTTTCAGAATGATAAACATACCAAGGGCCGCAGGTATAATCTTCTCTCCCGTGATAGACTTAACGTACCTACAAAAGGTAAAGAAGGTCGATATTTGCACGATTTATCTCAAGAGCAGTCTCAACGATTAATTTCAATTAGTTCCGACGAGGATTCTTTCTGGTATGCCTCCGGTCGAATTTTTTTCTCACTTTCACAACTTGAGTAGTTTCCAGCTAATTCTAATTTTAGTGATATCTACAATACCAGTTTCGTTTCGAGTTTGGCTGATGACGAAATGCATGAATTTCTACGTAGAGATGGCTTCGATTTAGATAGACAGCTTTCGACGGCAGAATCAGAGTTCCCCGATCTGGATTTAATTCCGCCTCACTTTGTCACCAAAAGTCGGTCTCCTTGTTCTCGTTTTATCTGCTGTAACAGATGCAAAACTCTCTGTACTATCATGTAATCTGGGCAAGCCTTTTTACCGTTCCTTTCTCACGTCTTTTGCTTATGTTCGCGTTACATTCCAATCCATAACAATTATTGTTTTTTTTCAGACAGCATTTATCTTTATTTCTATCCTTGTTCTTTTATACTCTTTTGATGCTTCCTTGAAAATGCTATTTCGTTATTCAGACCTACTGCTTGAGCTAATAAACAACGAGTAAAGCGGAAAATACGGGAATTCATTTATTTTAATGGGGTTAGGGCTTTAATACTTTGCTTATCCTTACTTCATTCATCACTTGGAACTTCTCAATTAGAATTTGCGGCATTTATTAGTACATTGGTTTTGGTTTTACCAGCTGTTCCGTTGGAGGTTTTATTGGTTTCAGTAGAGTTATTATCGCTGGTGTAGTAGTATCCGTCATAGCAACCACCACAAGCCATCAGGTATTCCCAATATGGATCGTTATAATATTCAGCAAGCATAGTGTCATTATCGTTTTTTTGGTTTCTCCGAGCTGCCTCCGATATCGGTGACCTCATCTTCCATCTTTGGGTTCTCAGTTGTTGTGGGGACTGAGTCACATGTCAAGAGAACGGACAAGAGGATGATCACAAGGGGATTCATGTTTTAGTATTCTGTTTCGGATAACTATATGATGGGGACGCTTTCTTTATATACATTTGGCGTATTAGTTGTTCAAATAGAGAGGTTACAAACTTAGACTGATGCGTCAGTATCTGTTTGATTTTGCTTCACACGCTTGTTTTGGTACTTACATTTGCGCGCTTTAATTATCCCGTATTTTGAAATTTTCTTTGCATAAAGTTAGGATTTACACGACAAGGAAATAAATGTTAATGGAACCGGAATAAGGTAGGTTTTACCATCAATTCCTTTCCATCAAAG